CTTAAACAGTCGTCCGATGAAAGGAAGGAAATTACGAACTTAGATAGATATAAAAGAAGGTTTAATATATAAAACAGAATACATATAAAAGACAGGCAGAGAGAAACAACCTGGGTCTGCTGCGGATGACAGGCAAAGCAAAAAGACAGACCCTGAAAATTACGCCTCACCTCTTATACCAACGTTCTAAAACACACATGTGACCATATGGTGACAATATGACCTATCGAACTCTAGGTGAGAAAACCAATCTCCTCTCATCTGTCAGGAGAAGTGTCTTCTTGTCACAACACAGATGTTTCCTGGCTTCATGCTTTGTTTACTTATGCTCTTGTTTACTCTTGCTCTTTCACTCTTGCCTGGGGGCTGGGAGAATTCTGCATTAGTTGGTTAACTTGACTAGACTAATCTACACACATTTATTAACATGATAATACACATAACATTTCTTAACACTTAACTATTGTTTTACATTTTAAATCCCATTGCCAGCATGACAACATACAGAGCTAACTCGCTAATGCTAACGCAATGGGTTATGCCGCTAGCTTAGCACTATTCACAACAACATGCCCAGCGCGATGGCGGCACAAGACTCCCCACGGCCCAGTAGTCAGCTCTAAAGGTGGTATTTCAACACTTAACTTCTTAGCAAAACACAATGAAAATCTGTGAATATTTTCTAATACGCACCTGTCCACAGCTGTCATCCAGCCTCCCCACACACGTCTGAGTGAGAGGGCCGCACACAGGTGGACCTAATCATTCTACTCGCGCTACCATTGGCTGCGGCGGTCACGTGACGATTGCATTGCTAATACAGCGGTTTAATAAAAATAAACAGCGAGACAGCAGGGATAATATTAATATATTATACACATATAAATATTGCTCTCATTATAAATATGCATATATATTTTATAATAATATTCAGGTTTTTCCACCAGGGTTACAAAGAGGTAGAAGGTAGATTATGAAAAGCAGGGGGCCGAGGATAGAACCCTGTGGAACACCAGAAGTGATGGGGAAGGAACGAGAGGAAAAGAATTTAAGTTGGATGAACTGGATGCGGTCAGAAAGGTAGGAATGGAACCAGGAGAGGGGAGTACTTGAGATGCCAATGGAGGAGAAGGTCAGGAGGAGGATGGAGAGTGAACCGGAGTCAGCAGAGAGAAGGTCAGGAGGAGGGTGGAGAGTTAACCAGAGTCAGCAGAGAGAAGGACAGGAGGAGGATGGAGAGTGAACCAGCAGAGAGGAGAAGGACAGGAGGAGGATGGAGAGTGAACCAGCAGAGGGGAGAAGGTCAGGAGGAGGATGGAGAGTGAACCAGCAGAGAGGAGAAGGTCAGGAGGAGGATGGAGAGTGAACCAGCAGAGAGGAGAAGGTCATTGGTGATTTTGAGCAGGGCGGTTTCAGGGCTGTAGAGGGAGTGGAAGCCAGCTTAAAGTTGTTCATAGTGGTTATTGTGGGAAAGGTAAGAGTGGAGTTGAGCAACAGTTTTTTCAAGCAGTTTGTAGATGAAGGGAAGGTTCAAGATGGGGCTGAAGTTATTGGGGTCAGAGGGATCGGAACCAGGTTTCTTGAGTATGGGAGTGACGGCAGCAGAGTGGGGAGGGCACAGCACCATTAGATAAAGAGGTTTTAATTATGTTTGTGATGAGAGGGGAAAGTGCAGGAGTGGAGGCTTTAACAAGGACGGTGGAGAGAGGGTCAAGTTGACAGGAGGGGGATTTGGATTTTTGGATGTAGGTGGAGATTTGGTTGACAGATGGGGAGGTAAAGGAAGAGAAGCGGTGGGTTGGAGCTGGGAAGAATGGAGCAGGAGCATTGGGAGAAGAGAAAAAATGAGGCCAGGGTATTGCAAAAATCAGATGAATAGAGATGAGAGGGAAGAGAGTCGGAAGGTTTTGTGATGGACGAGATGAGTGAGAAAAGTGCTTTGGCGTTACCTTCCTTTGAGCTGATTAAACCGGAGTAGTATGTGGATTTAGCAGTGGAGATGGAGTCTTTGTAATGGAGGGTATGTGTTTTGTACATGTCATGGTGAATAGTGAGTCCAGTTTTTCTGTAGAGTCTTTCAAGTTGGCGGCCTTCGGTTTTGAGTTGTCTGAGGGTGGGAGTGAACCAGGGGGCTGTGTGATTGAAGGAGAGTGGGGCCAGAGCGTTGAAAATGTTTTGGAGGTTTGTGTTGTAGTGTGTTGTAGAAAGCCCATCAGCACTGGGGAGGTTATGGATGAGAGTTGTTAAATTGTCCAGGTTAATGTCCTTGATTTTACGGAAATGTATAGTGCGTGGTGGGTTGGATTGGGTGAAGGACAGGTTGATATTTAATGAGATGAGTAGATGGTCTGTGTATGGGAGGTGGTCAGTTTGAAGGTCCAATGACGTTCCTGAGCAGCGGATTAAGTCCAGAATAAGTCCTTTATTGTGAGTGGGGAGGTTCACAAACTGTCCAAACAGGAGGTGAAATCTTTTGTGAGGGTGTGACATACACATACACACACACGGTGGCTGAGTGGTTAGCACACTCACATCTCAGCAAGAAGGTCCTGGGTTCGAATCCCGGTTGGAACAGGGTCTTTCAGAGTGGAGTTTGCATGTTCTCCCCATGCCTGCGTAGTTTTCCTCCGGGTACTCCGGTTTCCCCTACCACTAAAAACATGCACATTAGGTTAAATCCTTCAGCATCAACATCTGGAGATGAGTTCCCGAGCGCTGTTACTACGGCGACCGCTGCTCCTGACGTAAGCCTCAGGGCATCAGGGTCAAATGCAGAGGATCAATAAAGTGCACCTTTACCTTTACACACACACATATACAGTACAGACCAAAAGTGTGGACACCCTCTCTCCTTCACTGAGTTCTTTTCATGCTGGGCCACATGACCTCCACAGTCACCGGACCTGAACCCAGTCCAGATGGTTTTGGGGCTGGACCACAGGGTGAAGGGGCCAACAAGTGCTAAGCATCATGGGAACTCCTTCAAGACTGTTGGAGACCATTTCAGGTCCTCTTGAAGCTCATCCAGAGAATGCCAAGAGAGAAGCAGTATCAGAGCAAAAGGTGCTACTTTGAAGAACCAGAATATAACACATATTTTCACTTGGTTCATAATTTTTTTTTTTTTTTAGGCAAGTACATAATTCCACATGAGTTCATTCATAGTTTTGAGGCCTTCAGAGTCAATCTACAATTTTGATAGTCATGAAGATAAAAAACTGGGTGGGTGTGTCCAAACTTTTGGTCTGTACTATATACACACATATACACGCACACACACACACATACAGTATATACACACACACATACAGTACAGTGGGGTAAAAAAGTATTTAGTCAGCCACCGATTGTGCAAGTTCTCCCACTTAAAATAATGACAGAGGTCTGTAATTTTCATCATAGGTACACTTTATCTGTGAGACAGAATGTGAAAAAAAATTCCAGGAATTCACATTGTAGGATTTTTAAAGAATTGATTTGTAAATTATGGTGGAAAATAAGTATTTGGTCAATAAAAAAATTCAGCTCAATACTTGGTTATATAACCTTTGTTGGCAATAACAGAGGTCAAACGATTACTATAGGTCTTTACCAGGTTTGCACACACAGTAGCTGGTATTTTGGCCCATTCCTCCATGCAGATCTTCTCGAGAGCAGTGTTTTGGGGCTGTCGCCGAGCAACATGGACTGGAGACTGGCTCCAGGACTTTCAAATGCTTCTTACGGAGCCACTCCTTCGTTGCCCGGGCAGTGTGTTTGGGATCATTGTCATGCTGGAAGACCCAGCCACGTTTCATCTTCAAAGCTCTCACTGATGGATGGAGGTTTTGGCTCAAAATCTCACGATACATGGCCCCATTCATTCTTTCCTTAACACGGATCAGTCGTCCTGTCCCCTTAGCAGAAAAACAGCCCCAAAGCATGACGTTTCCACCCCCATGCTTCACAGTATGGTGTTCTTGGGATGCAGCTCAGTATTCTTCTTCCTCCAAACACGACGAGTTGAGTTTATACCAAACAGTTTAATCTGACCACATGACATTCTCCCAATCCTCTGCTGTATCAGCCATGTGCTCTCTGGCAAAATTCAGACGGGCCTGGACATGCACTGGCTTCAGCAGGGGGACACGTCTGGCACTGCAGGATTTGATTCCCTGTCGTCGTAGTGTGTTACTGATGGTAACTTTTGTTACTTTGGTCCCAGCTCTCTGCAGGTCATTCACCAGGTCCCCCCGTGTGGTTCTGGGATTTTTGATCACCGTTCTCATGATCATTTTGACCCCACGGAGTGAGATCTTGCGTGGAGCCCCAGATCGAGGGAGATTATCAGTGGTCTTGTATGTCTTCCATTTTCTGATAATTGCTCCCACAGTTGATTTGTTCACACCAAGCTACTTCCCACTCTTCCCAGTCTGGTGCAGGTCTACAATTCTTTTCCTGGTGTCCTTCGACAGCTCTTTGGTCTTGGCCATAGTGGAGTTTGGAGTCTGACTGTTTGAGGCTGTGGACAGGTGTCTTTTATACAGATAACGAGTTCAAACAGGTGCCATTAATACAGGTAACGAGTGGAGGACAGAAGAGCTTCTTAAAGAAGAAGTTACAGGTCTGTGAGAGCCAGAGATCTTCCTTGTTTGAAGTGACCAAATACTTATTCTCCACCATGATTTACAAATAAA